TATAAATTACATACAGACTGGTCTGTATCTTTTCTGTACCGGCGAAAAAGATCAAAAAATGTTAGTGTAAAAAAGGCGTAACATACACACTTACATGCACGCATGCATACATGCATACTTCAATGCACTACACTACCACGCACGTCGGGAGCTTAATGTCCCGGCTGGGGCGGTGCTTTCCTGAGCAAACACCTCGAACCGACTGTAGGTCGGAAGGTGTATCTCACCTTCCAGACCGGTAGGAATCACCGCCATATCCCGAAATATAACATTCGCCAGACTAATAGAACTAATGACCACAGCAGTTGGGCTGCCCGGAAACGTTAATCGCTCCGAGATGCAGTTCGAAGTATAAAATTCAGGGGCGACCCGTGTTCGGGCTGGAGTGCAGGCGAGGGTCCAGCCATCCAGAGACCCAGGGGAGGGACCCGCGGAAAGTGCTCGCACCTGGAACACCGTGCGTCGTGCCTAGACTGGCTGCTGTTGTATAAATTATGTGCTTGGTATCTGGGGTTGGTGGTGTGTACAGGAAATGGTCTTTACCGATATTATAAGTTTTTTTTTTCATCGCTCAGTCGCCGTCGTCACATCTGCCGTGCGGAAATCAAGAATCTAGTAAATAAATCGGTTAAATAAAATTGTGGGTAAAGACGTTATCAATGTATGTTTAGCGATTTGTGTACCGCCGCGTGTGTGGGAGAGGGAGATATTGTGGATTTTGGTCAGGGTGAAATATACTCCACATTCCATTGCAAAGAAACTCCTTATCTCACCGCGCAAAATTGGCGTTAGTGGAACTCCTTCGAAACTGTAAATGCTGATGCTGTAACCCTTTATCTGGGCCTTTTCGTGTTCAGCACTCTCTTCTATTGTGAGGTGTTGCTACCTGCAGTCCCAAGGGAAAGTGTGGAAGGTATTAAATAGAACAATATTTAGAGTCCTTACCTGTTTCTAACCACTACATACAAACCATTGGATATGCGGTACCTCGCCACGGAAGTCATTGAGAGGTATCCATGGCATGGTGCGAAAACTCTTCGTTCTTCATTGTATTCCAGACATAGGGAATGTGCATTTCCATTGCGATTAGTTGTTTTTGTGCCAGTTCGTCAGATTAGTCTCGTCTCTGCGGTATTTGAATGTATTACGTGGTATTTGTGTGTATTAATAATTTCAATATTCAGAAGATGTCTTGAAAGGCTTGGATTCAAACGTAAAGCGATTGAAAAATCTGTGTTCCTATATGGTAACAAAATGAAATAAAATGTTACGTTAACTATTTTAGCTACAACGTGACATACAAGTTCATCTCGTAATACGATGAATCTCTCTAATATTTGTAAAAGTTACCTTAACTTCTAATATTAATATTGCAATCCTATGTTAAGTTTTGGCGGTAGTTTTGTTGAAGGACTGGTCACCCAAAACGTGTATTTCTAATAAAAATTCGATAAGGATTTTTTGCATCATTACAACTTTCCTAAACTACGTATATGACAGTAAAAATAATGTGTACGTTTGTTCGTGCTTATAATAATCGATGACTAATGATGCATATTATTAAGAAGTTACTTTTCCGGTTTCAAATCATACGTTGGGTATCAGTTCTTAGAAAGCGTTTCATATGTTAAATGTATAAAAACGTACTTTAGTGTGTTACGTAACTAAGACGTCTCATTGTGAAAAGTTTATGCATTAGTGAACTTTCTTCCTGAAACAACGGTAACCTTTTTTTGGTGCCGCAGAATCACCTTTGCCAAAAAGTTGTCGGTTTATTCGCCAAGAATTCTTAATTTTTTTAAAAATCAATCAGAATAAATGTTTGGAGACCCAAATAGTTATTATTTATCACAATCGAAAGTGTTTCCTAATGATACGCGAGAAACACGAATGCAGGGCTTTCTTTGAACCATTTCTTGGAGAATCGTTATTAATAATGGAAACTTCCTTTACATTGCACATTTCAGTTCTCATCCTTCAGATAAGTGCACAAGATTAAGATAGTCAGGAAACTTGTTGACGTTTGGCACTTCATTGGGACGTGTAGTGATGGAGTTATTTTCTTCTACAATCGTTGGGGAAAATCCCAACTTTCATTACATTGTATTACATTCTTTTTCGGAAAAAGGAATTGCAATACACCAAGACAATTATTTTTTCCTGTTTTTTTTATTTTATTTTTTTATTTTGATAAATAAATAGAGATATTGTCAGGTATCAATATTTTAATTCCACTAATGATCATTATCGAATCGCGTAGCGATCATCCTCAGAGCTAAAAACAATACAAATATACAATGTGAAATATTAACAGTTGTTTTGTATACAAGATGCGTAAGCAAACTGGATCGTACATACCTTTGCAAGCTTCTGCCGCAAAACAAGTTCTGCGAATTTTTTGAGCGTGTGTCTTGTTAAGAGCACAGCCCGGTGGCAGCGGGAAGGGGGCGGGAAGAGGGGGTGGGGTTGCGGGTGAAGGGTCGTAAAAACGCGGGGTGCTGGGTGGATGCTTGAGAGACGTCGGCCGCGAGGCCGAAGGTTAGTGGGGGTGGGAGGGCCTGGGGGTGGGTTAGGGGTGTACACTTTGTGCTAATTTTAGCAAGGTGAAGAAGAGTTCAGGGATCTGTTGGTCTTTAAGACATGTCATGTCTGTTTTTTGAGGGTGTTGTGTAATGCTGTAAGGCTTCTAATTTTTTCTGTTCCAGACCCTGTTCTCACAATTACTAGAATACGAAATTTAATGTGTTATCAAACATGTGTGTTTGTTTAAATTTAGGTGATCCGCAAAGTGTGAGACTGTGGTAGTGTTATTTTTCCATTCCATTTTTCTCACACTTCGCGTAAGAATTCGCGAAATTCGTTATTCGCGTAAGAAATTGAGAAATGTAGGTTGAATTTATTCTCTAAACGTAGAACAACACCACTTGAATGGTGCACTCAGTGTTTCCAAAACAACGTTGTACAACCAGAAGACGCTCGGCTGTCGGGAGGGGATTACAGATTGCTTCTGTCCCTAGTCATGAGAGGCCGAGCGAAGCACGTCAGGCAAACCGTGGGCGAAAGCTCCGTCAGGAACTTTTCTAAATATTTGCTCTGTTAGAGCAATCTCCCATTTCCTACTTTATATAGGTGTTTACTGCACATTATACTCGAAACTCTCTTGTCTCTTGGCACCAGTTAGGTATACCATATGCAAAACGGTCTTCTGCAGGAATAGACTGTGTGAGTTGCTGAAAATACAAATCCGAATTACCGAGTTGATTTTGTATTACAGAGTACATCATTAGTACTTTATCATGTAACCATTTATTTTATCGGTATGGTCAGTGTAAAATATGACCAAATTAAATTGAAAAAAATAAGTGCGTCCCTATCGAAGTTGTTTTTGGAAGGTTGGTTTCAGGTACCCGTGTGCTTTCCCAAACCAAAACCAAAATTTACAAATTTGCGTTTTGGAAATGTATGCATTAGTTGATTTCTGTACGGGAGAAAGGCATTCTCATTAAGTTGTGCCAATACATTCATAATGATAATGGTATCACAAGCGAAAACTACGTTTTATTGAATAGGAAAACTGGCGTGGCCCTGTCTAGTTCATTAGCATGCCTGGCCAGTGGATGACTAATAGCGGCCTTCAGTATCGTGGCAGAACAGTTCGTGTGAGCTGGCAGGTTAAGAAAGGTTCGCTTTAGGCTTCTGAAGAAATTTTGAATTCACGCGGAGGACAGGTTTTTTTCTTGTGCGTTAGTAACACTGCTCCAGCATGTGAAACTAACATTTTTTTCTTCAGTGTAACATAATCGTGAAACAGATACCTTTTATAGTACTAAATAATGCAACGATATTTTCAAATCATTGAACATGTACTGTGTGTCAAGTTATGTAACATATTAACGTAATACTAGAAAATGAATGTCGGGAAACAATTGTGTATATTTTTAGGAAGCCTTTTACAAAGTGCGTGTTGTTCAGTTACATATTTGGTGACACCGTTGCCTTGCAAGAAGGTAAGTCCTCTACAAATTTGCCTCGTATATCCAGGTTTTTCTTGTCTGTCGTATTTTGGTTCATTTTTGTTCTTGTCATTTATTGCAGATTGTTTAGAATAAACTAAAGATACATAATACACAATTTTTCGTGGGCGAAAGGTGCGTCTTCAGAGTTCATAACGAAGTTCGCTGTTATTGTTAAATTAATTCTGTCACTTCAAAATTACTCAGCACATCATTGTGTGACATCAGATTGAACCAGTCAATACTTTTCATTTTTTCACACTGTTCATCACGTTTTTTGTCTAAGTCAGATATGTTTGATAGCAACTTACGCATCAAACTTCGTCGTTTTGAGGGAGTCGTGAATTTGGGGGAAAGGCAGTTGTTGTTTTTTTTTCTTCTCGCTTTACGAATATTTCGTAAGAAAAAAGTTATGTAATCGTTCACCAGAGAACGGCAAATTTTGGTACTTTGTGATAAATTGTTTTGGTGGATTCAGGTTTTTTTTAATGTTAAGCATTCGTTTCTGGATCGTCTTGCACATTTTGTTTTGTAAGTTTGAATAATATTTTTAGTTTACAATGGAGGTTCGTTCATCTTATAACATTTTGTTGTTGCATATTATTTTCAGCCTCATGACGCTAAAATTTGCCCAATTACTCAGCAGCAAAAGTTAGGGGTTCCAATCTCACGTAAATGCCTTCCGAGGGATTACGAAGTGTTGGAGGGTATAGCTTTCCTTATCACCTCATATCACATCTGAACAATCATCTCCTCCTTAATCATTTGTCTATCATCAGTCTCCCCCTCCCCTGTTATCACTAGCATCCTTCAAACAATGAAAGGCAAAGGCAATCTACCACACTGCAAACGCATGTGCCAAAAGCTTAATTTTTCTCCCTCGCCTGTGCGTACGCGTGGATAGTAAATGAGTACGGCTCGCTTCATATCGCTGGGCCTATCACTTGCGTGTGCAGGGAGTGTGATGTGTGTGTGCGCGTGTTGCAGGAGGCGGGGCGCAAGGGCGGCGTGGCCGGGGAGCTGCCGCCGACGCCGCTGAGCGCGCCGGCGCCGGGGGCGGGGTCCGCGGGGGCGGGGCCCGGGGGCGCGCGCCTCAGCCCGCTGCCCGCGCACAAGGGCATCGGCATCCGCAACAAGTTCACGTCGTTCCGCAACCGCTCGCCCACCGGCCAGTCGCCCGTCAACAAGACGCGCAAGCCCAGCCAGACAGGTGCGTACCCCCGCAGGCCAGCCGGGCTTCGCGAGCGTGGATTGGCAGAGGGAGAGCTTTTCGTCTGAACGCGTCCCGTTTATGGGCCAATCTGCGATGCCGACTGACGGTGAAACTGTCACTGCTGCTACCTGCTTTATTGTTTGAGCGGTGGATCGTAACACATTTCAGCCGGTGTGTAGCTGGCTCGTTATGCCGGGCTTGCCTGTGAATGAGCCTTTTTAAGAGGCGCCCTATCTACACCTAAGGCTGCTTGATGAAGACTACCTGTAGCATCATTTAAGCTTGGTGTTTTAAACATACAAATGTGCTCTTTTATATCAGCACTTCTAAGTAATTTGAAAGTCAGGAGTTGGCCCTCAAGCTGATTCAAATTATTTACAATGTAAACCCTTGCTCAGATGACTCATAATAGGCAACAGAAAACAAATATTAAGTTGCCACATGTGTGGAGATGTATTTACATTTAAGCTATTTTTATATACATCTGACATCTATCTTTTGTACCCACAGACCAGCTACCATCACCAAAGAGCAAGACGTGGAAAGGGCGTGTTGCCAAGCAGTTGCGCAAAATTCAGCATGGAGCTGGTTCTCCATCATCTCCTACTGCTCCCCATCCGGAGGGCTGCACCATCGGAGTGCCTCTCGAACTCTGTCCTCCTGTAAGTATACCAAGCAAATGATTGGAGATAGGACCAATTACATTCGAATCTCTGAGGTACCTCCCACCATTACCCAACCCACAACTTACTTTGTTAATTTAAATTGTATTGTATGCTATTGACCAAAAACCATTTTGGTTCAATTTTCGAATGAAATCTGTAGTTCTAGATGTAGATCATTTGTGTGATTTTGAAAGAGAACTACATTCATCCGAGGCATATCTGAGGAACCTCATAAATGTAATTTTATGAGGCTTTGTTTGTTTTTGTTTCAAATGTGAGCATAAAATAATACATGGCATTGTTAACTGAAAAGGAGTAAGTTTATTATATTACTGTAATATAATAACTTCACATTGCATGGAACATGTTAATGACTGTGCTCTTATGACTCCTTGATTATTCTTTCTCTTCAGTCAAACTTCAGTACATTTGTGCCTCTATTGGTGGAGCTGTGCACAAGTGTGGTGGATTCCCGAGGCCTGGATATTGTTGGCATTTATAGAGTACCAGGGAACACAGCAGCAGTCTCTGCTTTAACAGAATCTGTTAACAAGGGATTTGAAGCTACTAGCCTCCAGGTGAGACCATTGCAAGTGAAATAAAATGATTTTGAAATTTTAAATGGTCTTTATTTAATCAATGTTGACTTTTCAGGATCCTCGATGGAATGATGTGAATGTGATCTCAAGCTTATTAAAGCTCTTTTTCCGAAGATTGCCTAATGCTCTTCTCACTTCAGAACTGTATCCCCTTTTCATTGATGCAGACAAAGCAGAAGATCCTAATGAACGAATTCTTACAATTAAGAAACTAGTAAGTGCTGATCTACATGCCTCTGAGATTTACTTTTCAGTTTTGCATAAATTGAAATCTTATTTTTTCTAAAATTTCAGGTCCATGAATTGCCTGAACACCATTTTGAGACTCTTCGCTACCTCTTGTTCCATTTAAAGAAAGTGGTGGAGCACTGTGACTCCAATAAAATGGAAGCTCGAAATTTAGCAATTGTGTTTGGCCCCACACTAGTTAGAACTTCTGATGACAATATGGTAACAATGGTAACTGATATGTCGCATCAGTGTCGAATAGTGGAGTCTCTCATTTCACATGTGAGTTTTACTTTCTGTTGTTGGAAGAAAAATAATTAGTGGAAAATATTATGAATTTGAATGAATGATTATTACAACTTACATTATAAAGATTAACTTGCCAAACAGTGATCCACTTCAAGTGTCTGTGTTTAAATAGTATTACAGTAATCAACACCTTTTAAATTGTAGGTTGACTGGTTTTTCTCTGATGAGGAAGATGCTCCTTGTAACTTTCCATTCAGTAACCCTCAAGATGTGCAAGAACTGGAAGCATCCTCTACAAATCATAATTTGCTGCTTAGTAACATCCAAAAAGTAGAAGGTACATAATAGATTTTAACCTACCCTCTCTGATTGAGTTGAATGTTCATATACATGTGTCTATTTAATTCCAATGATCATAAATTATTTCTGAAGTCTGTGAATACTATTGAAGCATGAATTCATAGATCTTAATTCTCTGAAGCTTTGCAGTTTATTCGGGCATGTTTTTGCACATTTTAAAAAGAACAAAGATTAAATTAAAAGTGCTCTCGATAACAGAAATTAATTTTGTGCTGAAAAATGAATTTCTTATTACTCTTCACTTTTCCATTCTAGCTAATGAATTTAAAATACATTATTATATTTGATTTCAATCCCTGCCAGTTTTATTTATTTCAGTATTTGTTCTGATCAATGTGATAAATTCTTTAGCTGCTTGCAAAACATGGTGTTCATGCACTAAATGGTGTCGTGCATCATGGTCCTCTCTCTCTCTTTTTCCGCATGGTCTGTTAAATGTTTTTAATGTGCAATGATAAATCAATTGCAAACTCAGTCCAACTGGAGACATTGCATTTGAAATCAGTCTCTCTTTCTTTAAGCTTATTGTGTGCCACATCATAGCTTTCTTTTTATGGATAGCTTATATATATCAAAATGAATTTCATGTTTCCAAACGAATTGGTACAATTCTCTTGAATTATCAGTACTTCAAATTTACCTTTTTTAAGAATGTTATTAATCTTAATATTTCTAATCTTAATGTTATGCATGCAATTTGTTGTCATATCCAGAGTGAATCTGTTAATGTTGCTGAATGGACTGTTCTTTGCTTATGCATTGCATGATTTTTATATTTTGTTTTTTCTTTTTTTCTTTCTTCTCCCATCCCCATCCCTTTTTTCTCTTCTCTCACTGCACCACACTACAGGCATGAAGGCTGACTCGGCTAACAGGGACATAAGCGCCAAAGATATAGTGTCATCCATCATTTCTGCAGCCAATCGTAAGATGCAGAAAGCAAAGTCAAGGAAGGGAGGCACCCTGGTTGCCTCAGCCACACAGGAAGAGAGTCATGAAGTGCTGGCTGAGCCAGTGGAGAGCGAGCCCAAGCAGGTAAGAGAGGCTTTCCTTTTTGTATATTAAGTCTTTGTTCAGGTATTCAGAGTGACCAATAGTCAGGAACATGTGGGGAAGAAGGAATTTAGTATATTGTGGAAAAGTAAAAGTGTTGTGAAATTTTTGCACACCTTTTCTGGATAGATTTCTTTCTTTTATTCATTACTGTATTGCTACAGAAAAGGAAAGAGGATGCAGAAAGCTTTACATAAGATGTGAGGAGAATTGGATCCAGAAATGCTTGTCCACATAATCCATTGATATGTCTACATTCTCCTTAGATCTGTAAATGAGATGTTATTTGAAAAGCAGCAAAGTTTAAAATGCACCATAAAAACAGTACAGAGAATAGTTTCAAAATTTCCAAACCCTAGAGTTGTGAACAATTATTAGGAATCAGTAACTCAGATTTTCTCTCAAACATCATGGTGACTTTGTTGGTCAGTCTAAATATTTCTGAATCTGTTGGAAAATTGTTAGAATATGCATTATGTACATTTGAGTGATACATAACTTTTCATTTTCATTGCTTGAAACTTTTGAAATCTGTGAATCTATCATGTTTATTTGTGTGTGTTTATCTATAGTGTGTTATTTGTATCGTGTTTATCTATTGTGTGTGTGCACTCTTGAAAGTTATTTGATATATTTCATTAGTTTGTGCTAAAATATATGAGAAGTATATGTTAATAACTGAATAAGAAAATTATACAATTAAATGTAAAGTGTGCAATTTTTATGAATCAAAACAAAGAGTTAATTCTAAAATATAAATAGTGATAACTTCAATAAACTTCTCTTGTATAATTGTTTCTTCATAAATCTTATCCTTTTATCCACTATTGGCAAAGTATACATCAAAAGTAGTGTTTAAGATTTCCTGTATATTTCATTATATTTTATTTTGTTCATTAAATCCAGATGTTTTACCAAATTTGGTAAACTAGTTGGATTTAAATTAATATATATTTTTTTTAAATGAAATAAAAGACTCATTGTACATTATTAAGTTTTCAAGGAGGAGTTGGCTAGTACAAATAATTCTTCTTGATTCAACATTAAATCGTGGCAAAGACTTGTGCACACAAGTGGGAGGGCTGTTGCTCCCCTTAAAATTTTGAAAGGGGTTCTGTAGCTTTAATAATAATATTTATTCATTAATTTTAATGTTTAAGGTGATAAAACATTTTATTTCCTTAAATAAGTTCAATCGCTGATTTTTTTCTCTTTTCCTCTCCTGACCATTTGGGAAATGGTTATTTGACCTTTAGGAAGAATCTTTCCAATCCCTGTGGAAACTGTAAACGGTTTAACATATAATACATAGTACTTAGTGTTTGTATCATTGAAGTAATTATTTCATTCTCCTCGTATGTTATATTTGTTTACTAATAAATTATGTTGCAAGTAAAAAAAATAAACAAAAAAGGTTTCCAAAAATATAGTTTCCACTCCCCCTTGCCGTTTTGAATTTAATTATTTTCTTAATGAATGTATGCTTGTTTCTGTGTAAATTAGAATGTAATGTAATCTAGATAAAATTTGTGTGGAGGGAGTGGTATTGCGTTGATGAATGACACACCTGCAAACAAATGCTTATGATCAATCGGTAGATGTCAAGGGTTTCAAGAAATGAAAATATCTGTTATTCAACATGCATCTTATAAGTTTTATACTGAATAAATATTTTTTTGTCTTGGAGGTAGTTTCCTTATTTGTCTTGTTGTCAGGTCTCTGAGAGTAAACCCAAGCTCAGAGAGCCAGAGCCCTTGGCCCCTGTGGCCACTGCAGAATCAGACGAATCTCTGCACCAGCCCTCCTCTGCCGTGGCTTCCTCGATCCGGGAGTCTGTGCTCTTGTCAGGCAGCATTGTGAAGAGTCTTAATTCAGGCCGAGAAGAAGGTGGCCTTGAAGATGAAGCATGCCCTGAGGACAGTTCTCCACGTGAGCCTTCACCTGGAGCGACACAAGATGCCAACTCTAGTGGACCTTCGATTCGTAGATATGTTGCTGGAGTGCCTTTAGCGGGAGATGATGCTGCAACGATACGCACATACACAGGCCTGTCGGCTACTACTCAGGAGAGGATACGAAGGTGAGTTTCTGTAGAATATCTGCAGAACTATACCCAAAAAGTCCCAGAAAGAAAAGATTTTATTTCACAATTTCAAAATTTTGCCCCAAATCAATGTTAAATAAATTCTAAAACAAGTTAATATTAACAATTGGATCGTCTTATGTGGAAAAATCTTATGTTTATTTATCTTCGGAACATTTTTCCTTTGAAATTACAAGCCTTCTCATGCAAAGGAAATCTGAAGTAAAATGAAGTTTAAGAAACAATTCTTTTAAAATATGATAGTATGTCTTGTAACTCTATAATCCATCCTTGTTGTTCAGAAGTTGAAACTCCAAAACAACTTCTTGAAAATATGTTAAATAATTATTTGTATTGACACTGAATTACACCGGTAAATGTATACATGAATTACATTGAATCAGCTTCGATCTTTTAATTGTTTAAACTCTTCAGTCATTCTTCAGTTGATAAAACAATAATAAGAATGAAATGTTATACTTAAATTTTGTAATTTTAATTCATAGATTTCATTTTTTCTCTCTCCCATGATTCTAAGTTGCTTTACTACTATTATTTTATACATGAGTAACAATATTTTCAAAACTATAATAAACATAAAATAATTATAATAATTATTCACAATAATTCAAACCTAGTAAATTTGGGAATTTATTGTATAACATGTGAAGATAAGGCTCTCCCGGTTTGGCAACCTTATAGATAGTTCAACATAACGCATATTTTGAAATAGTAATAATTAAAGTTATAATTGAATACTATTTGTAGTATATTTCATTAATTTAGAAGTAAAATACATTACATGTAAGTGTAAAAATGTTCAGTGGTCAAACGTAGTCCAGAAATGTAGTTGACTCCTTGTTGTTTTAGTTGCACATGCCTATGTACCTACAGAATTAATATTAGCAAACCTAATGCCACAAACTAGTTAGAAAGAAAACTGCTCGAGTCTGTTATTTAAATAAAAATACTGTATTCAAGTGTAAATGCGTTTCTACTCTTTATCTTTATTTTTTTCTACCTATTTTTATTTGTCTGCATGGCGTTGTTGTAAAAGTTAACATAATTATTTCTTTCAGGTTTGAGCTTGAAACAAAAGCAATGCTGCAGCGTGATCAGTCTCGCCACCGACAAGAACTGGAGCGACGAGAAGCCGAGAAGCGTCGAATTGAGCAGGAATGGCAGCAGGCAAAGCGTGACTTGGAAAGTGAAGATTTGTTGGACAAACTTGCAGACAATCCAGCTGGTAATTTTGGTTCAGCATATCCATTAGATTGAAAATAAATTCTTTAAACTGTATATTCAAAATGGTTAAATTGACAGTTAATAAATGACCAGAACAGTGAATGTGAGCATCCTTTTTTAAATATGTGCTGTTTCTGGGCTAAACACTTTGGTGCCCTTTATACAAGCAATGAAATTATGAAATAGAGATTTCTTCGAGGGTCAAGTTGATTGAGAGACTTCTATACCTCTGCCAATGCTATTTTCTAGCTTGCATGAAGCTAATTTCATTGACCTTTCAGGAATAAAATATAGTTTAAATTCTTCCAAAAAATATCATAACAAATAACTACATTAGAGTAGGTGCATTGGAATAGCTTATTTCAATAGGTTATCTTGTGCAAATTTGGAAGTAGGTTTTAAAAACTGTAATCATAGACTCATGATAATGCATTTCGTTTTCTGAAGAATACTAACAGGAAAGCTGATGCTAATAATTGGTGTGACCTACCAAAGTAGTATGATTATTCTGTATCTTTGTGTATTGTGTTGCATTGTTTGGTTATTTATTTATTTATTACACATCGAAAAAGGATACAAAGTTATGTTTATGGGATGTATTTCAACATGATTGCATTATCTTATATATTAATATACCTTGTTATATCTCAGGATTAGATGTTATCTGTAATACATTTGCCTGTATATACATTTTTTTTATTTCATAAATTTTGTTTGAAGATAAAAAAACACATTTTATTAATGTTTGCAGACCTGTCAAGGAAAGGCGATTCAGTAAGCAGGATGCCTGCTCTGCTGAAACCTGCTCCAGGAACTGCACAGTTGCAAACTCCTACGCTTAGCGGAGGACAGGGCACATCTGGGCCTCCTTCTCCAGCAGCTGCCCTTCTCACGAGGACTCTGCAACAGTATCAGCAGCAACACGCAGGTAAAGAAAATTCACACATGCCCAAAAGCATAAAATGATATGTTTGTGCTGCTGTGCTTGTTTTTAGAAGGGAACGTAATATTGCACACCTAATGCAACAGGGCCACAATTTCAAAATCACTCATTTTGCAGGAGAGCCTTCGGAAGTTTTCTCGGGCCATTTAAAAACAAATTGAATTTAAATTGAATTGCTATTACTTTGCTATTTATAAAACTAAAAAAGTGGCATTGCTGCAATCACATAATGGAAAACGAGGAATCTAACAATGGGTATTACTGAATTTTCAATTTTTCGGAGACGTGGCCCTCTTGCATTAGGGGTGCGATATGGCAAAACACAATAGAACATCAACATGTTTCAGTTGACTATTGTCTCACCACCGTAGTGAAGAGGGAATTCAATTTTTTTTTTTCTTCAAAATTGGGATTTAATAAGATACGTAAATATAATTTCACTGCTTTAACTTCTGTTTTTGAAGAATGTCAAAGTAAAAGATTCATGTTGATAATTGCTGTAGCTTTTTCTTTTTATCATACTTATTTTTCATTATTTAAAGGGACTATTTTTGACCAAGGAAATTGAGATTTTATAGTTTGTAAAAATTATCAGATCCAAGTTGTAGTAACTTGTATCTTCATTTGTGGAAAAGGAAAAACACTGATAAGAAGCAATGATTGATATATGACAGTATTTGTTATTACAGAGTAGCGCAGCTTTATGTTAAATGTCCTATGTTGGTCAGTGACTTTAGCGATCCATCCAGCACAGTGACTAAGGAATACTATGCCATCTTACCATTCATAATACGGCATATATACGTAATCTTAATCATTTTAGCTATTTCACCAACAAATATGTTTACTTTAGAACACGTAGTTTTACTTTGTCTTCACCATGATCGCTATCTGTATGTGCACATACATCCATAACTTGCCGAGAAACTGGTTTTGCTGTGCCACTGTATCAATACATAATGTTATATATCATTTTGCTTGTTCAGTTGACAGATTGTTTCCTTATTTCAAAGTGTGCTACTGTCATCATCTTTCCAAAAGCATACATACAAAGATGGTGCAGTATGATTTATTTATAATTGAAAAGTTCAGCAAGGAAATTTTCATGTTAATTGTTAGGTCTTGTGAATGATATTCATTGTTGTTGAATTTAGAAGATTAATACTTTTCAAGTGAGAATACAAAACCTAATAACTATCCACAATATTAAATGTACAGTTTTTGAAGAAGTTGCACAATTTTTATAAATATGAGTAGTTACTGAAATCATAATTGAACTTTCCGTGCTCATATTATTCCTATCATGTTCATGACTGGTGAGAGCTAATGGACATTGAAATATTAACAAATATCACAAAAGTCTGATAGTTCAAATTAATTGGAGAAATAATTGCAAAATTGTATTATGCCAATGCAATTTTGAACATGGTGTTTTGAATTGAATTGAATTGATGTCTTATTTTATTTGGCGAGACTCAGGTCATCAGACCCGCTCTTCCGTCTGACCACACAAATTTTGCTATGCTCCTTTCGCCCACTAGCAAAGAAAGGAGGTATTTCTTGGGCGTTTTGTGGTTTTTATGTTTTGAAATTGAATGAAAGTTGTGACTGACATTGGTAGCAACTCTTGCTTGCTTATTGAGAGGAGAAAGGAAGTCGTTAGCATAAACTGTTTCAAATAAAATTAGTGAGTTGTAAAGGAAATTAGGTTAAATGTGCTGATTTGCAATAGGATCAAAGAGAGAAACCTATCAGTTCAATTTGCCCCTTCAGCCAGCTTCAATTTGCCAGCCCACATTATTAGATTACAACATTTCAAGCACTGCCATCAACTCGTCACATTACAATGCGTTGGGATGCATTGCTTTGTTTGAAAAAGCCGTTAGAAGATGGCAGTATAATCAAGTGAGAAACATGTTCCTTCGGCTAATAAGGGTTCATTAAAAAGTTTTCTCTTGTGTCCACTGAAGTGCTATGAAATATGAACACAGGACAGGAGTAGGAAGAAAAGCTGTGTGATCATCCTGAGAGCAATTTCAATACTTTGCGTTTGATTAAAAACTCCTCATACTCAAATTCAATTCCTCATACCTACGTACACAAAAATTATACGTATCCCTCAAAAACACTTAACAAAGAATGTTATTTGTTAACTAGATTTAAAAACAGTATGAGGAGGACTTTCCTCCTTTCCCACCCTTGAGAAACCGGACACTTATCAAAGAGGCAAAACACTCTGCAAGCAATACGCAATTCACAAGGGTGTGACATAGCTCATGTTTCTCAGCTTTATGTTTCTTATAATTTTGTTCCTTTTAGAACCACCACCCAACCGAGATGTGCTGAGCGGATCTGATGAAAGAGATGGAAGTTCTTCTCTGCAATCATTCACTCATACTCGTAAAGTTGGAGGCACTCATTTCTTCCCCAGCAGTCCAGGGCCGAAAACATCTCAACCTACTGCACTCTCCAGTATGGCAGCAGTCAGCACTCTTGTGGATGCGGGGTAAGTGCTTATTATTGCTTGAAGCTGATAGATAAGAAGCTAAAGAGACACTTCCAAATTTGTTCATATCCTTGCAAAAGAGGTTGACAATAAAAAGTCATTGACTCACGTGCAACTTAGCCAAAACTCCCATAAAACTAATAATAATATAAATTACTATAATAATTTAATATAATACTAAAATTATTATTATTATTATTATTATTATTATTATTATTATTATTATTATTATTATTATTATTATTTGGACTATGAATAAATAGTAGAGATCTGACTTGTTTGCTCTTACATTTTACAAATTATTATAAACTGCAAATAATCCAGTCAACAGAATGTGCAACCCTGTCAATAAATCAAATAGATATTAACTTATTTTATCAGATGGCACAGTTTTTTTTAATAAAGCTACAAGTCAAACATTGATATGGAAAAAAGATACGTTGTATGTACCTAATTAGTTTTATGCTACTGTAAATGAGAGTTTTCTTGTAGTATGGTATATTGTTTTGTATGAACAGGTTGTCTGTTAGTAAAAAACAAAGTGTATCATGTACAATGAGTAAGCAGTCTTCTTTCTTTCCTTTTGCAGGTATCCTCCTACAGCCAAGTCAGTGGCTCGCAGTGTGGAATTAGCTGCTGCTCGAAGTGCCCAGGCCAGCATGAGGAACTCTGTGCATTCACCTTCTGGGCAGTCACGAGCTTCTGAACTCGAGGAAAACCCAACCAAGCCTTCTCAAGTAACAACAGCAGATTCAAAAAGTAGCACAGCTTTAAGCTCCTCATCGCAGCTCAAAAGGCTAAAGACTGGAAATGAACAGGTATGTGTGAATTGCTAACTGTGTTAAAAAAAATAAACAACACCAAAATGTTCTCTTCCTATTGACATTTGTTATTGTTATCGAGTGTAGAACCTGTTAATAAACATTTGTTAAGTGAAGTTAGAGGATTTTTTTTTTCTTCTGATAGGTAAATCTGGCACTGATCTAGAGGCTTATTTTTAAAACTCATCAATATTTTTCAATATTTTCCAATTTCTCTTGATAACAAATTGGCTTTAATACCAAATTGGCAATACAAGAATATACTTGCAATGCAAGGTTATTTGTTTTTCTCTTCACCTTCACCAATAGATTCAAATATAGTCAGATCAATTCAAATGATATCAAATATAATTTTCAACATGGATGCATTGTTGCATCTAAAAATATTTTTTATTGTGGAGCTATGATTAGGCTGGACTAGACCTGACTTGACATAAATTGACTAAGCTTTACTTTCTATAGAGCCCTGCCACATCATATGTCTAAAGGGTTAAGCTAGGGCTATTACACCAATTGGAGACCATCACTTCTCTGACACTGATTTATAGAATGTAGAACATGGTTTAGGTTGGGCATATAAAGGTAATTAAGTTTTCTTGATAGTACAATGCAGATCACAGATTACTATAGGCTTTGCTGAATTTGTAGGCTTTCTTAAATTAACTGATACTCTAAAAAAAAATTGTGGCTCTTTACTGGAGTGTTTGTTAGCAAAATGGTTCATTGATTCCCTTAAATTATTGCAACATCCTGAAGGAGAAAGTAAAAAATCATCCTAAATATGATAAACACAAATAATGTTGTAGACTTACATTTATGTAAACATATCACCCAATTCTTTAATTTAATTTTGCAATTATAACATAATAGTGACATAGATTAGAAAATCTTAATGGATAGCAAAACTATGCAGAGAACCTTTTCTTGTAACATAATTGTACATTTGCTGGCAATATTCTCCATTTTTCTGGAGCTGTATGGGTGTAGCAGAAGTTCTGATTATTGATTTTTGGAAACAGGGCCCCACTCCATCTCAGACATATGGATCACTGCGTAGTGGTTCTCTCGACTCACTCCAGGAGGCTTATACTAGTGATCCAGCTACCAGACCTCAGAGTGATGTATCAGAAGATGGTGAGTAAACTCTTAGCTCCTAATTCTTGTTTATCTTATTGCCTATTCATATACCCTTGTGGGGATGTTCTTGTACAATCAAGGTTTACTTGAAGTGGCATAGTTGTTTTGTGAAGGAGTGGCACAGAAATTTCTTCTTGGTGCATAATCTTCTATCTTAAAATAAGGAATATTTCTATCTAAATTTAAGATTACTTCTCAAATGTGGTAAAATGAAAGATAACAACTTAAAATTGAAAGATTGTACAAGGATTTGCATATTTTATGTAATATGTGTATTTTATTCTATTCCAATTTTTATGGTTTAGACTTCTTTAGGTTGTGCCAGTAAAAAAAAATCTTTAGTAGATGTGCATTCTATGTGATTGTCATGTACCTAGAAAAATGTCTGTCCTTCCCAAGTAATTTCTTTCTTTTTACCTGCTATTTTATAACATTGAATAACAAATATTATTATAGTTTTTTTTAGTTTTCTTACTTCTTTTTTTCCTCTTTATAACTTGTATATCTAAATTTCGTGATAATCATTCACTTTTGAGGGCAAAGCATGGTTGTGTACATCTGACCAATTAAATTCTGTGCTTCACACATATTTTGAATTCTTGCTCCAAAATTTCTTTGTTTTTGTTTTTCTTCATGATTTTGATTTTTATTATATTAAAATAACAGTGGTCTTCATTTTATTAATACTAGAAGAGCTTTCCTAGGAACTTATATTTGATCAGTGTGTATTTTTTCTTTTCTGCACAAATTAGTTTGTGCAATGGCATTTGAAGTGGGTCAAAAATATCTTAATTTCTGTTCTCTTTTTAATTATTTTCTAGAAAAGCTCTTTGTATAGGGTACCCGGAGCACTGTTTTGTTCTCTCATATGGAATTTCTTCAGGTCTTCAGAATTTTACTTCTAGTGTCAAATTGTTCTTTTTCATCTTTCTTTAAGATGTGTATCCTTGATTGGTGTTGCATGATAAATTATTTTTTCAGTACATTTTGTGCATGCCTTTTTATTTTTCAAAGATTTTTAAGTAAGTGCTATCACCACATAATCATAAGTCAAATTTGTTCTGTCAAGATTTAAACTAATCTGATAAATACCATTGCAAGTATAAACCTGAGAGTGGAAATTGCATTTTTGTATGAACAACATTCACAAGAAACATACTCCATTTTTCAAACATACCCTTGTGTTAATAGTATGTTGTTGCTGGTGTATTTTGACACAATGACCTGAGCTGTCCATATGAGAAACAAAGGGTGTTAGGCTGAGAGTATTGGCTAGGATATGTCATTACGACCTTACAAGTGGTTGGATCATGCATCAGCAAGTGTGTTGTTCGAGCCTTATTGCTCCTTGGAGCAGAAGATGGAATTTTACTGTAGTTTCTTTAACTTGTGTATGTGTAGTTCTAACAACCCTGATTAATGTGAAACAACCCTGAACTAATGATACAGTGTTTCCCAAACTATCTTATACCACTGCCACATCTCACCAAAGTGTTTACCAGATGTCAAGTAAATAAGTATCTAAACATTTTTCCTTCTTACAATATATTTGATTTATATCTTGAAACAAAAAAAAAGAAAAAAGAAATGAGTAATATTGTTGAATATTTTATAATGGAATGTTTAAAAAAAATAATTTCTTCTAAAAATCATTTTCTTTTCCGGTCTTCTCTAACATCCTTGACAGTACCTCAAATATTCAAGTACTTAATCTTCTTTTGATGATCAATGTGTTTCTGATAGAGTATATCAACCTCTTTGGGAAACACTGTAAATTTAGATCTAACATCACAGTAACATTAATTCCCTGTTGTTTCTCTGTTTCTCTCCTGTTGCTCTTGTAAATGTGTCTTGTGGCGGTTGGTGAGTGCAGGGAGTTGCTTCTTCTCCTGGACTCGCAAGATCCTTGCCATTAACAAAAAAATCTCTAGGTACATACACAATCCTGACTACTTTTTTACTTCTTTTGTTCTTTTAGCTACTCATACATCTAAATTGTGTCTTCATAGGAAGAGAGTCCTTGTGAAATTTGTACCTCTTGAGACAGATAAAATTTACAGTGAAATTCTGACTTCCCAAATGGAGTTTTATATGTAATTTTATGATAGTTTCATTAAAAATTGTACATTGTGAAGTTTAAATTATTTATGAGTTATCTAGCTCTAATTGGAACTGAACTTCAGTTCTCATACTTCAAGATGCTGAAATTTTGAAAGATTTTATTATATTATCAAATCAGTTCTTTGAGTAATATTTTTCTATTTCTTAACATTTTTATTACAAAACAAAATTACTACCGGGAACATTTTTTTCAGATACTGAAATAATTTCTTTCAGCAGCTGTTGTAATGAGGCTTGTTAAGTTCTACTCAATTGGTAATCAGAATTTGACTGGAGAATGCCACAGAATATTTTGACAAATATACTTGAGAATTGATGCAATGTATTTCTCACTTCCTACGAATGACTAAATTTACAGTTGCTTTATTATGATAAAACAATATAATAGATATGCATATTTTTGTTGTTGTTTCATGAAATAGTGTTTGTTGTTATTCTTACTGGTGTTTTCTTTTCTGTCTTGTTAATGAAGATTATATTTAATTTAATGCAATCAAAAATCAGGTGTATTTTTCCACAAACACTGCTGTGAAAAATATGTAATTATAAACTTCTGTATTCATAAGCACTTCTTTTAAATGCTCTGTTTTAGTAGCCTTTTTGATGTACCAGTTAATATCCTTTAATGCCAAGATGTATGACCTCTTGATATGTGTAATTGTAGTTCATACTACATGGTGTATTCATTGAATACCACATCTTTGGTTAGAAAGGTTACAGATGCACTTTAGCATGTTTCCATTGTAAGTCAGTAGAACACTACAAAACGAATGTTCCAGTGTGCAACACTTCTCATTAACAGCACGGCACACTGTCACATTCAAGCATGGAGTACTTGTACACCAGCACAAACACAGGATTCATTATGATAGTGAACATATTTCTACATTTGAAGAAAGTCAACAAAAATTGAACAAGAGACACCTTCTCTTAAATGATGCAAACATTTGTAGGAAATCTTTTATTAACACTTGACTTTCCATGGGGATTTCAGTATTATTTCTTTTGTATTTTTGAATGTACATTTTATCTAAATTTATTTTACATATATCAAGAAATCGTTAATTCACTGCGAATTTAATTTTTTTGCCTTATTGAATCATAATACATTTTGTTCCAAATTTGTTATATAAAAATGTTATGATGCCTGAAATTCAAAAAAATAATTTCTCTAATGCTAATGGGAGAACAAACTAAAACCCTGTATGTTATGTGAACACATGGGCCTCCATTGCAGCATTGTTTGTGATTCCTTATACAATTTTGCTCAGAACATTTGTTTTGGTCTTAAGGATTCTGCTTTGTCTTAATGGTGGCCTGTTGTAATCACATTATCTATTCCCAAATAAACAAATTAAGGTGTCATAATTATAAATATAGATAAAGAGTATCTTATTGAAGCAAATCAAACATTCTTCATACAAGCAGTGCTATCTACATTTTTAGGTTTAGCTAGTGTGCAGCCAGTTAATACAGTGTGTAACCTTAAATTATAATATGTTTGTCACTTTTCCACATTTTGTAGAAGGTTAAATTTCTTTGGTAAATTTGTATTCTGTATGGAATGTTACCAGGTTTAAGATACTGCATACATTCTCTTTCTGCTTCCTTACAGTCTGTTTTTATTAATTTTGTAGTTGCTGATGTGACTATGGCACCATTCAAAAGAGATCATTACTTCAGTCAGTTTAGATAAAATGCATAAGATGTAGAAATATACATCCTCTTAGTGTATTTTCAAGTAAATTTAATTTTACTGTTTTAAAAATCTAATAAAGGAAAATGTATGGCAATAAAACTTAGCTGAGCTAAGGAATGTACATTTCAACTTCCTGGTTACTGTTTCTGTATTTACTGGCTTGGCAGATGTTTTGGTTCTGCGGTTCCTGTGTTTCTGACTTTCTCTTAACACAGGTTGTCAGTCTTCTCACTATTTTCCTTAATAGTTTTTAATGATTTTCCTTCATTCTTTGAGAGAGTACACAAGTTGTGAGGAATGATATTTTTTTCTTCTTTTTTTTATTCCTTTTTTCTCTCTTCTTTTTTTCTTATGTCCAGTTGTATTTGCACTTGGACCCATTTTATAAAGATTGTTAATGGAGGATATTAAATATGAATCATCAGAAATTGCGAACAAATTCAAATGTATGAAGGCTTTTCTTCTAATTCATGCTCTTCAGCAGTTGGGAGATTCTCGTAACTCTTAATCTAAATTTAACACTTTTTTTCTTCCTGAAACATTTTCTTCACTTATCAGCTTGCATTTCCATGTTATGTTTGATGGGCAAAGTCAGAAACATTCAGGAAAAGATGCAGATAAACAAGTCATTGATGGATCTGTAATGGAGTGTGTTGCGTTCTTGTCTTCTCCCTCCCACCTTGCCTGATGTGCCACTGCTGGCTCGCCGCCTCTGCCAATCGCTCGCTCGCTCTCTCACTTACTTCCTCCACTTGCTGTGCACAAATGATTGAACGAACGAGCACAGGCAAGCGACGAGCCCGAGCTTCTGGTGCTTCCTATCACAGCTACATCCACAAACCCCCCTCAGCACTAGCGCAACCCAGCACGGCTGCATCGAGGTCGACACTGGTGCGTCCACTGGGCACGCCGGCAGCAGCCGCGGACGGGAGTCCGGTGGGCCTTTCGGCCGCCCCAAGTTCCCTACCACGGAAACGCTAGGCAGGCTGCGCAGAGGTAAGGGGCGAGGCGGTCGCCCTTGCCTGCCTGCCTTCCTGACTTTCCGCTTCCTGGTCCTACTCTTTGTCTTTCCTGTCCAAAGCTTTCCAAATTACTTTATAATAAGTTCACCCATGGATAACCCAATTTGCTGATTCAGATATACTAAGAGACTGGTTACAATTAGTGTTGGTGAGAAAGAATGGTACTGGTACTTTATTTTCTGTAAAGTTTAGCTAAAATTAATGAAGTGAAGACTTCATTTTTACTACAAAGACTGTCATTTAATTATATTCATTTTCTTTTCTAGAGATATTTTTTTAAAGTTTTGAAATTTGAGAAACATTCTATTTCTTTTAAGTTCAGAAAGTTTTTGTTCAAATACTAGTTTCCTCCATGTAATTATGGACAAAGAAACAAATGTTGACAAACATGTTAAATGTAAGGGTGTGTAATATAAACATTTTCAACTGTGAGTACAAAATAATGTAACATACATGCAAATTCCACTCTCAAGAGCTGTGGTTAGAAAGTCAGCAAAACAGAATAATGAACAGTCTGCAACTAAATATATCTGGACTGACCTGCCATGTAGGCTGTTCAAGACACTTCATTAAAGATTTCCTACCTATTGTGCTTGATGGATTTGTGTGCTTAAATACAAGAACACTTGTGTGCTTTTTTTATTTCAAGAGGCGTGTGAAAAATTCAAGCTACATTAAGTTGAAATGCTGCACTGCCTGTTAGTCCATTAAGCTTCCTCCGCTGGCCATCAACAGTCAATTTGCTTAATCTAGCACTCAAATATTTCATAACTAATTTTGAATGTGTAGACTTTGGTGTGTGTTTTTCAAATATGGGAAGCTGTGTTTTTGCAGTACTAGAGTACTATTTTCCATAGTTCTTCATCAATCTTAATGCTGCAATTATTTTTGATTGCAGATGCAACATGTTTTTACATTATTATCTAATTTTTTTGTCATAATAACCTTGACCTTGGCTGTTGGTGTAGTTGTGCAGTAGTTGCTGTTAATTGTGTGTTACTTTTTTCACCCTTCATTTTGAATGTTGATGAATTTTGTTCTTATTGAAAACCATACGAATGGCCTCAAAACATTGATTTATTGAATTTTTTTGTTGAATCTCAAAGGGAAAATGCATCAGAGATGAAAACATTCATCTGATAGCTGGATTTTAATCTCCACTAACTGAGAAACCTCTATTCATCAGCAGTTTTTTGAATAAGTTTATTACTGTTTTTAATACAGATGTAAAGACGATCTTGGAAGATAATGCCAACTGAAAGAACAATATATTTAAGTTTTTAATTGATATGAATTCTGGGTTCGTTTTACAGGAGCATTTTTTTTTTATAAACCACTGGTTTCTTTGCTCCTTTCATGGTGACAGAATGGATTGTGGTATTTGTCACTTCATTGTAATGTAAATACTTTGATTTTAATGAATTGTATTAGAATGTTTTTATATGTGAAATTTTGTTGTGAAGCTAGTGTTACTGTAGTTATATTTGTTTTGTGTGCATTTATAATTTTTCACTTTCATTCTTGCACTCGTGTGCTATTCTTTCTAGCATCTTCATTTGCAGGTGTAGCCAGCTGTAACACTAGCACGGCAGCATGCTTGTGTCCATGTGAATACACATTTTATTTCAGTGCATTTTGTTTCCAGGCTCTGGTTTTGTTCATTTCTATTCATTTGTACAATTTTTACACAGTTTTGAACATGCACTGTATTTTTAGTTCTTTACTGTGAGCAATAATTGTTATGTTTGCCACTTCCTAATTCAAAATAGGTCTGAAAAATCGCTTGTAATGAACTAACTGCCTTGCCTTGCGAAGATAGAATGCAGCTTTTTTTGTAATGAACATCACCTGACTTTTGAACTAATCTTTCATATTTCCTTAGGGGGTGACCTGCTGGCAAGTTTGACTTCAACATTCGACCGCAAGCTGAAGTCCTTGTTGACCACAAGTGTGTCAGAAGCAGCCTCCCCTTCTGACACAGTTGCGGAGACATCTTTGGACACGGAACCTCTTCTGCGCCATGAGGTGCCCCCAGCCCAAGATCCTCTCGAGCAGGAGCGTGCATCCCCAGCATCAGCACCGTCACAGTCTGTGGCGTTGAAGGTCTCGGAGGCCAACGAGTCTGAAACTGAGTTCTGCTCCCCAAAGGCAGCATTAGAGGACACAGGAGCCCCTTCTGAGGACCTCATGGGGTCAAAGAGAAGCTCACCATCTCTACCTCCAGCGTCTGCCCCCTCAGCGCCTCGCCGGATGGCCGCCCTGGAGCGCCAGAGCAGGGTGGAGCAACATCTGGTGGGTAGACATTAGAATAACTTCTCAACGCAGCTCTTCCATTGCAGAAGTGTGCATTGATTTTGAAGCTAGGTTCCTGATGTTATAAGTTTTCTACAAAATATTATTCACTATTCTTTTAAAAAAAATTACACATGAAGTTTTTGTCACTTGTGTACTTGTGATTTCATTTTCTTCATCTGGTATGTAATTGCTTTCACCTGTTGTTCTCTGCCATCTTTGCCTCTTAAATGAGGCAAGACAATTTCCCTTTTGCCATCAGTTACCCTTTTGTTTTCTTTTGAAAAGTAACGGCAATTATTCTATCTGAACATTAAATAACGGATGAAATGAATTTTAAAACAGCTATCTTTTATTCCTTTTACCTCCCCTATCTTGTCTCTTAGTTATACTTTGTATATCACATATGATTATACTTATCACACAATTACATTTCATGTCATGCTCGTTTTCTGCTTTGCCTTTTTTATGTTATTGAGTAGAATTTATTTAGTTTTGTTTATTGGTTTGAATACTGTTCACTTCTTCTTTATTAGTTCAAAATTCTCTTTTAATTTGATGTTGGTAATGAAGTTCATAAAAAGATCATTGCTGCTTCATGGTAGTATTATTAAGTCTTGTTTTATTATGTTTATTAAATTTTTAGTTGTTTAGATTAAATGATGAATGTAGTGAAATTATTTGAAATTGTAAGTTTACTCACATTTACAGTATAATAATTACATGAACATATAAGCTAATAAGTGCTTTTGTGTTTTAGGATGCTATCGACAATAAGCTGAAAGAACTGCAGAACTGTCGGTCTGAAGAGCGAGAAGACCTTCAAAAGAAAGTGAAAGAAAGTGCATCATTAAATGAGAAAGAAGAGAAGTCTGTGGAAGATAAAGAAACTGCCTCATCGAAACTGAAGAGGTCAGAATCACTTAGTAAGGCTGAAAAGTCGGAATCGACAGTGAACACAAGGCTGAAACGTTCTGAATCCCTAACAAAAGCAGAACGAGAAGACATGGGGTTTTCTACTAGCAGATTGAAACGATCTGAGTCACTAACAAAAGCTGAGAAAGTTTCAAGTTCAAGTACAAAACTGAGGCGGTCAGAATCTCTAACAAAAGCTGAGAGGTCTGAATCACCTTCTAACATGAAGCTCAAGAGGTCTGACTCTCTGACAAAAACTGAGAAGACTGAATCAAACAATAGTAAAAGAAAACAGGACTTACTTTTAAGCTCAGGGATGGGTCGTGCATCAAATAGAGGCTGTAACAAAGAAAAGGAGAATATGGCAATCAACCTCACTAAATTGAAACGGAAGAATGGAATGCCAGAACGGTCTATCAAACGAAGGCACACTGTGGGAGGCACCAAAGACTTTGATAAGTTGAATTGGTTGGATAATAGGCGACAGCATCAACTGGAAGAGAATGAAGCATTGGCCACAAATGCTCCTGTGAGCAACAAGGAGCGACAGTGCCTGCGAACCAGTTCTCCTGACCTCAGTTCTTCGCGTCTGGGAAACACTATCATGGGCCATGAACGCTTCCTAATAGAGATTCGTATGCTTAGTAGAGGGGGTGGTGTCATGTCTGAATTGAGGCACAACATTGCTCACCCTCCTTCATCTGGAATGGGGCGTCCCCACAGTCTGCCTGATCCAAATTTAGCGTCACGCGTATTTAAAGTTCCTTTGGAGTCCCATGTGTAATGGTAGGCAGAATACCAGTTCAAGTTTTTATTCTTATGTGATTAAAAGAACAAAAATGAAAATTTAAAATGAAGTGTTTTTGGTTTCTAATGTTCACATTGAGAAGAGTGGGGTAGAGATCAAATACTTGCCTCCTTCTTTGTTTTTCAGCTGTTGATTTATGATTGCATCACCCTTGGTCCTGTTCAGACAGTGAAGTATGACTGAACATAAATAATATCTGTACTTGTGTGTTCATCAACTATTGTCTGTGTTCAAGACTGATCTCTGATGTCATTAAGAAACTATTTGAGATGCATGCTCTCTGTAAAGAAAGAACATCACTGCACAAGATATTTCCTGTGTAGATTGTAGGGACTTCCTGACTCAAAGAGGAGAAGTACTTACGTGTTAATTTGTGCAGCTGAATTTGTATATTATTTTCTGAAAGAATTCAAGATCTGTGATTGTTGAACAAAATCTGTCGTGATACAGATATGTTATATAAACAGTGTAAATGCAGGCTTTGTTGATAAGTTTTTGTGAAATGTGATAAACTTTACATGTATGTGAGAGTGTGAAAATGTATATAGCCCACAATTTATGTGATAATGAAAGTTTTCAAATTTATTTATTCCATTTGCAGAGAATAAACTACATACATCACAATGTGCAATGTTTCAATACTAAAGAAAGTATCAGTTAATTAATGGTGTTGATTCCATTATGTCCCATATCAGGACATCAAGAAGGTGTCAGGATACAAAAGAATTGAATAAATGAGTTCCCTGTGCTTTATCGTAGTGTGTAGCAAGTACAAAGAATTGTATTTTTCTTTTAAATTGATTTAGAATTCCATACTTGGTATGCTTAATTTTATTTTATTTTCAATCTCAAGGAAGAGGAAGTAGAAGATATTAGAGCAAGAAGATACAGTCTAAATTCTCTTGGCAATGGGCATTTCATTTCTTTTTAGTCTTCTTGCAGTGAAATAAAAACAAATAAATTTGGAGTTTTAATGTTAAATAAGCTGTTCTGGATTGATGTAAAAATGCTTTTGTGATAAATTGGTATTTTGTTGTATATGTTGAAAAAAGTTTCGGGGATGAAAAAGGGCAAAATGGTACTATTAAGTTCTATCTGACCGTCCAGTAGATTCATGTTTGTTTTTGTGTATTATTCTGACAAACACGAGCTGGACCTTCCTGGTGCTTCTTTTTTTTTTAATTTTGTTTTCGTACTCCATTCTATGTATTACATATTTCTGTTCATTCTAAATATTTTATGTATATAAAAGAACAGAATATCTCGTATATAAACAAAGAGAGTATGATATAAATTTTTTATGTTACAGGGTTGAGATGGGTGATAAAGAAATGGAGTTTTTAAGAGTTTCCTTTGTAGAAATCTTCATATAATAGTTCATTTACATCAGAAATCGAGATATTTTAGTGTATGGTATGACAGAGAAAATTTCCATGTAAATATACGGAACTCAGATGATGACACTTGTTTTTGTAACAAACCCTACAAAACCTTTTCCAATTAAATCCTTTATTCCTATCACATCTTATCTTCATATCTTCTTTAAATTAGCTGTAGAATTGTATGTTTTACCAACCATGGGCACGAGGTGTCCATATTTTTAGTTCATAATTATATGACCATCATATTTAAAGTAGGTGTATTTTCCTTATAAAAATAATTTATTTTGTAATTTTATTCAGTACTAAGTATTTCACAGAAATTAGTTTAGTTATATTTTCTAACGATTTCCAGTAGCGGTGAGCATACAGGAATGTCTTATGGGTTGAGCATATCAGTTGTAGGGAAGCCACAGATTCAGTTTGAGGCAGCATGCCAGAAATTTATTTGATGTGTTTCACATCGGTGAGATAGTGGGGCCTTATTGGAATAAAGTGTAATTGATCAGTGTTTTACCTGATCGCATTCATATGAATGATAGAGATGCATCGTAAAGTATAGGCATGCATGATCCTTTTCTCCTCTCCCCTGTGAACATACCCATACTTGGGGTCAATCACCCCTCCTTGTATCAAGCATCCTTGTAAAGCAGAATATCTCTAGCACGCCTGAAAGATCTGGAAAGAAGCAATTAGCTGTGATATTCCAGATTGTGAGATACTAAATGAGACAATGGTGGGGAAAAAACACAATACAGAAAAAATGAAGAGAAATTATTATGTGTTATAATATTTTCAAAACTACTTATTTAAGTCAGTTCATCATCCACAAGCCATGATGACTTCCGTAATACAGAGAAAGTGTTGCTGAAAGACATGCTGATACAAAGTTGCTGAGTTTTCTTTTTGAAAGAAAAACTGCGAGTGCCTGATATCAAAAACTGGATTTTTCTTACTCTTCTATATTATTTTCTTGATGTGTAGTCTAGTCAGAATCGTAAGTTTTGTTGATCCTAGATACTGAAAAGGCATTCTTTCAGTCTGCCTATTCAAAGATCACCAGTAAATTGTATTCTGCTTTTTCTCCAATTTTTTTTAGATTAATTTGGCCGATTTCTTTGATCATTGAATTTGAAATCGCTATTTTAATTTTTGAATGTTCTTTGGAAGTCCGAACAACACTTTCTAAATTTTGTGAAAAATAACTCGCACATGTTTACTTGAAATTTTTTACTCGAATAGAGAAATGTACTCATAAAAGGATTGTTCATGTTCAGATGTCACTGAATCATCTGAACGTTTCTGAAAATTGCAACAGTTAAAACATTTTTCTTGGCAAAATTCTCTTCAAATTTAGATCTTTAAGAAATGTTTTGTACAATTGTTTAAAAATGTGAGTAATTTTCAAGTTATTTCGAGTGAAAGGAGAACAAAAAAACAAAATCTCAACATTGGCCCAAATTTTTTTAATGAAGTTGCAAAAGTAAAATAGCAAATTAAAGTAAATTTTATTTATTAATATTTCATTGGTAAAATTTTCATTACAAATTCTGTAATTTTGAAAATTGCAAAAGTACTTTTTGTTATTGCAAAAAATTTTTTCTTACTGTTGTTAAATGAAGATCCTTACTTTAAATGCTGAATGAAGCTAGAGACTTTTATGTATAGTAATGTAAATTAATTCTTGAACATTAGATCTTCAAATCACTTCTTGACCCCATTTTCCAAAACATTTGTAGTTTTGTGATATTGAGGTAGCCTATATGGTGGTAAAAATCATAGATTTTTCAAATCTGATATTTTCCTTAAATATTGAAAACAGATTTATTTCTTAATGAAATCTATTTCTTAATAATCTGATAACACTTCTTGGTGCACCTGCTTATTAACTTCAGATTATCAATTATAAATATGGATTAAATTAAAATTCATCAGAACTTCTAGGATTTAAAGCATGGCTGGTTAAAACACATACACCGCGCTTTTATTCATATTCAGATTTTTTGCAATTTCATGGCAGCTCTTGCCTTCTGCATTATGAACGATAACTAACGGATGCATCGAAAGATCTGTTCTTTCGTTTTCGCAGATTTTTTTCGACGTTCTTGTAGGAGAGACACTAATAGACCGATTTTTGACAGCGCCTCGAATGACCGTTGCTATGAATCTACCGTAGGAAAAGTTACATCTGGTTTTGCCCAATAGTTCGTTGACAAAAATTATTGATACACGTCTGTCCGAATATATATTTGATGTGCAATTTCCGTTATTGGAATTTCTAATGCAAATTTTTCATAGATGTAAATGCAGAAAAAACGCACATTGCAGTGTACGAGTATTTAAAGCTAAAATAAATATTAAAATGATTACTGGTATAATATTTTATTTTTTTAACATGCTCAGAGCGTGTTTAACGTGAGTAAGCCGAGTACTACTCGAATATTTTTTTGAGTGAATGTATTTCCGTTTCTACTTTACGAAACCTCTTTATTGGGGTGAATTCAAAACGGATGTCCCGAGGGTCACATGTCCCTTCAGAACTAGAAATGAAATAACCACATATATAAATTTTAAAATCGACATTGATGAGGACAAACGGAAGGACACATTGATTTATCTGGATATTATTCCGTATCCAAGAATTATTTTTCCATTTCCACGAATTACATGGTTTTCACTCTATAAATACGTAGGTAAGTCAATAAGTATCTGCAATCAATTTTTATAATTTATTACAACGAAAGTATACACTTTTTATTTATATCATTTTCAATATAGTCACCCTGCTTTTCAATGCACTGTGTCCATCGGTGAGCAAACTTTCCAATACCCTCCAAAAAAAAAAAGTTTTGTATTGCGCAGCATGCACCACTTTCTTTACCTGAAGATCGGGACTGTACGCAGGATGCACCCACACCTCGAAACGCAGCTTCTGAAGAGTTTGAACGGTGTGGGCGGCGGTGTGTGGACTCGCAGTGTCTTACAAGAAAAGAACTCCTTCCGACAATCGACCTCTGCGTTTGTTGCAAATTGCGGGCTTCAATTTTTTTAACAGTATATCACTGTAACGTTCGCTGTTTACTGTTGACCCTTTTCCTTCCTCATCTTTCACGCACGTTTGGCCACTTTTAAACTGTTCAACCCACAGGTAAACACTTCGCTTCGGTATTGTCCCCGTACTGTGTTGTAAGTCTTCCATGAATTTCCGCTCCTGGTACACTTGCAGACCACAAAAAGGGGATTGCGGAACGCTGTTCTTCTTTGGTGCAAACAAAGAGTGGCGCGAATATCTTTACGTCGTAATAGCGCAAGGACTGATCTGATAACGCTGTAACCTACCACAGACGGATTCAGCGGTGCCAGCTAGTATCTGGTGAGCATATAAACCCACAGGGCCAACCTAAAGAAAATTGGAAAATAATTGCAGATACTTATTGACTTACCCTCGTATATTTAGATTTATGTAATATGTGTTTTTGTAGCAATGGCAAGGCGATCGGTCATCGATAAACTCTTCGATGACCAAACAAAATTATTTTAAAAAAGTACTTTTATTATTGCGATGTATCATACGATATCTCACTTCTAGCGTGCCAGAACCCTTCTGTCACGCTAATTCCTAGGGGGCGGATTTTAATGAAATGTGATATTTTCTTTTCACTTTAGAACAATGCCGCTTAGTATGGAAATTAATTTTATTTTATGACGAAACAAATGACCCATTTATATGTGTCATTGTTTAAAAGTTTTCGTAGATTTCGACTAATAAGTCATTTTTTACCTCTTTACGTCACTTTTACTGCATTTTTTCGGCGATTTCATCGATTTTTATATCATTTTAATGGTACTTGCATCAAACAATATTTACGAGGTGCAACAAATGTTCACCACAGAATTTCCGAGTTGCATATTAGATTTCTTCGCTCATATATTGTAATGTCTGCCGTTGTGAGTATAAGAATGTAATACTATGTAATCCAAGGTTCCTGTGACGCCTATCGGCGCCTTTGTCAGTTCGGCCGATTTCACGCTAAATAAAGGCAGAGATTTTCTTTTAAAGAGCAGCCCCAACCCAAAGTTTGGAAGCTGAGTTTACTTGAACAAAAGGAGGAAGCCTGGTTTATATCAGTAACATATCCAACAGCTTGACTTGTTCATCTGAAGTGGTTTCGATCAAATTTTTAACGTACCTTTTCATTGTTTTTAGGGCATTTTAAAAGCAATTTATGAGAATTTTATTGGTCATTATTGGCAATGGTTTAGGTCATCAAAATCCGCCCCCCACTATTACGCCCCAACGCCCCCCTGGCAATGTGAACGTGGGTCAGAACCGTAAACTGCGTGGGTACCGGCGGTGTTGACCCGGCCGCCCTCCGTTCCCCCACTTAAAGTTCACAATGGGGTATTCCAGCGGTTCCCCCGCGAGACGCCTCTCAAAATACCTCCTTCCTACAACCCTTGTTCTTCACAAATGGCACCGTGACAAGCAGAGGCGTATCTAGCCGATTATTGTTTTCTGTGTGTGTGTGTGGGGGGGGGGAGGGGGCATCACAGATTTTTATTTAATAATAAACAAGTTTGTTATTATATTGTATATTTTTGTAGGGTGTATATGGTACTATACAATATTATTGTTTAAATAATTTACATAATTGTAACATACATTATGTAAAATTTTAAGGAAGATAACAAACGTAAACTTTATTCCTCCCTCGATCCACCACTGTGATATGGAAACTTATTGAGCATCAAGTTGCGAGTTACATTAAGGAAGAATGGGAAATCAAAATATGGCTCTATGATGGCCAACACGGGTTCAGGAGTGGTTACTCATACAAAAGTCAGGTAGTCACGCTATTTCAAGATCTTGCAGATGAAATTGACGCGGACGGGAGAGAAGACGCAATCGTTTTAGATTTTGCCAAAGCGTTTGAAGTTGTTCCCCACGATCGGCTTGTACAGAAATTCATGAATTCAGGCATCGATTTCAGGGTGGTGGCGTGGATTAGCGAGTTTCTGCAAGACAGAAAACAGATAGTCCGAATTGGCCACGAGTTTTCTACCGGGGCAAGCGTTACGTCA